TTAATACTACTAAAATATGAATTGAAATCCTAATATTGTATTGCTAAAACATGATTTATAAAATAAGAAATCAAAACAATAATTTTTGTAACTACATACATCTATTAAGTTATAACCTCCTTATAGTAATAAAATTAGTTGATCTCACCATTATGACTATAGGGAGGTTTTACTAGACATATATTCATACATTCCTTGAAGGAAATATATAAAAGATAACCCTAATTTCTTGAATTTTTTTTTAAGAAAATAATATAATCATATTAAAAAAACTACTTTTAACATGGGTTTTAGTTTCTTATGTCAAAGTTGGACAATACTACACTTATAACTCAATCTCACAAACTTTCTCTCACAACCCTGATATGACAGCTTGAAATTGGTCAGTTTGTAAAATAGGCCTCGCCTGCTTGCAATGGATCTCATCTACCCAATTGCGAGCTGCTAGTCGAGATTGTGAGAGAAAGTTTGTAAGATTGGGTTGTATGTCAATCTTTATCTTTCAAATTTTTACATATGTAATATTAGTCCTTATAATATTTATTGTTTCAATTTAGGGTTAACGTGCAAATATAACAAAAGATATATTTATTAAAATTACGTTCTTATTCTATTTTAAATAAATATGTTGCATTATATATATTTATTATCCTTGGAAGAAAATAAGTAATTTTTAATTCGTTGGAAGATTGCAAATGATTCATAACAAAAATTCTCTAATTTTCATGAAAAGAGGATTAAAACAAAAGCAAAAAAAAATTGATTTTATCAATAATTCCAAAATGAAAAAAAAAAAAAAAAAAAAAGGTTTGATTCATAACAAGAATATGATTGATTTATGTCAAAAAAACAAATCTGATCATTCAAAGAAAAATTGAGAAAAATAATAAATCTGATCATTAGAAGAAAGATCGATGAAAATAATATATCCAATCATTAGAAGGAAAAAAAATGTTAAATATGAGAGATCTTAATGAATTCTAAGTAAAAGAAAAAAAAAGAGTAAATTCTTGTGTAGATAAATGAGAATTTTGCTAAGTACTAAGAAATAGATATTTGTATGAGTTTTAAGTATATTAAATATATATCATTTTATAATTTATAATATAAATGCTTTTTATTTATAAATAATTTTTGAAATATCTTCACAAAAATTTCAGTGGTGAGGTTTAGTTTTATGTACATAAAGATAAGTAACCCATATAAATGAAACAACCAATATGTTATTATGATACCTAACATCGATGGCTCAAAATTTAATTAATTAATTTCCTAACTATTAATGCATGGATTAATTTTTCTCTCAATGCGTAGGTGTCCATTGACTAGTTCCTATAATATTATCTAGAAAGGACAACGGCCCACCATAATTAATTAATTTCCTCAGTCATTAATTAATTAATTAATATTAAGTTCCCTTAATCCAGAAGATATCCAGAAGAATATCAACCCTTTTCTTAGAGAGTAATGCTATAACTATTAAGAGTGTACACAAAATGACGTGATAAAATCTTGATCGTTGATTAATATTAAATTATAATTAATCAATGGTTATGACTTTATCACGTCATTCAATGCATAGATTTAATTAATCAACGGTTATGATTTTATCACGTCATTCAATGCATAAATTTGATGTATTACTTGCAATGTCTCTATTATTTTCCTTTCTCCTATCACAAACTGAGATCCTTTAAGCTAAAAAAAAAAACCAAACAATAAAAATAAAAATTGAGTAATTAATTAATAATGAATTATAAACATTATTAAAATATGAGTTTTGTTTGGATCCAGATTCCCACTCTTTTCTCTCTTTCTTTCTTTCTTTAACCCAAACTTTTTTCTCACTTTTTTACTCTCTTTTTGGGTCGGTTATTGATGTGAGATGGATCCAGAAAAAAGGGTCCTCCATCAATTCTTCATACACAACATCAACATCTAATAGAGAAAGATTTTGTATCACATCAATAACCTTCGATCTAATTAGAAAAACTGAGAACTGGCCCCTTGAACCGAGTCAAGAGACGATCTGGGTTTTAAAACAGTTCTTCCATATGGTTATGTAACCAAACCCACTTCCCATGAATCTTGAATATATATAGGGCGAACGACTTATTGATACCCAAGGTTTGTCAAAACGACAAGTTGATACCTAAAAGGTTTTGAAACGACAAACAGGTACCTTCCGTCATGTTCTGTTAGTGATTTTCATTTGATAATAGTGAAAAGACTAAAATGCCCTTAAAAGTTTAATATTTTAGTTTTTTATAAATTTAAAAATATCTAAAAAACCCCCAGGTTTGCTAATTTGACTAAATACCCCAATATNCATGGTGGTTTAGTATATAATCATTTGTTAATGATCATTATATTGAAAACTTGAAATTTGGTTTGAAAATGTCTTATTACTTTCAATAATGTTATCAATTATTAGTCATTTGGCCCCATGCCCATGCCCATCACATCCAATAATTTAATTTAATTTAATTCAATTTCTTATTTAACAAGAAAAGAAAAATATGAAAAAGGAAGTGGGGACCCATATGGTAAAAATATTCTACTATATTTGTTGTTATTACTTGTTTTAGTAGACAAAAAGAGTGTTAAATGAGATTACAAGTAGTTGAACTAGGTTTAACTTGTTAATCAAGTGATTAAGAAATAAATAATTAGTTTATTAGTCTAAATCAGGGTTTCTTCTTGTTATTACTTAACCACTGGCTTTTGATAGGTAATGATAGAAATGGGTTATTAGAGATTAATAACAATTAAAAATTGTTGTTATATTAGCAAGAAAATCATACCCAATAGAGAAACCATGGTTAATTACCCATTTAATTAATTATTAATAAGGTTGTTTTCTTTTTGATAAAGTGTAAAAGATATAAAAACCATTTATTTATATAAAATTGTTGAGCGTAAAATTAAAACAATTTTTTTATTATTAATCGGTCATTTTCTTTTTTTGTTAGTTAAGGAAGCTTAATCAGAATGAATCACAATTTTTCTTCTATGATTGATCGATATAAACATCAAAAACTCCAAATTGGATCAGTTTCTCCTCAACAAATAATCGTTTGGACCAATAAAATTGTAACTAATGGAGAGGCAGTGGGAGAAGCGACCAAACCCTTTACTTTTAGTTACAAAACCAATAAACTGGAAAAAGATGAATTATTTTGTGAAAGACTTTTTGGGTCCATCAAAAGTGGAATTTGTGTTTGTGGAAATTATCAAGTAATTGGAGTTGAAAAAGAAAACCCGTGTTTAGGTAAGTTTACGTGCACGTTAATGTCAGTGAAAAATCAAACTTAAAACTGTAAGTTGAAGCCATGCATAACCCTTTTGATTCGTCCGTAACATTAGACTACTTATGCCTATGATGGACTAATTTAGATATTAAATAATCATATATCATTTAATAATTAATTATCATAAGATAATAACAGATTTCAGAAGTTTGACCATAATAAAAAATTAATAATAATATATTAGTTTATTATTGTTGCCACGTTTTTGGGTCGAAGTTAACGGCGTACTTGGAGGGTTTAAATAAATAATTAAAATGAAAAATGAAAAAAAAATCTGCCTAAAGTGATTTAAAATTGGATTTGGTGAGAAGATAATCCGTGATTAAAGTGATATTGTAATCTTTTATTTCTCTTTAATTAACATTTAATAATATCCAATTATCCACTAGGGCTGATTTCGGAAATATACTCTAATCTCATGTCTTTTTCTGTAGTAAACACTTGTTGGTTTAATATCCCATAGTTTTGACGGATTATTAGTTTATTTAATTTATATTGGCGTTATTACTAACCCAAATTCAATTAATCTAACATCTAAAATTTATCACTCAAGTTTTTATTATATAAAAGAGATAATATTATACTTATGACCCAATTAAAATTTTTTTTTTTATAATTTTGATTTATCAGTTCGCAATTGGTCAGTTCACAATTGGTTGTGACATAAAATTTATAAGATTAGGTTGTGAATAATTGATATAAAATGAGTAAACGATATTTTTCTATCCAAATAATGGTTTAATGACACTTTCTCACCCACAAACTTTTAAAATACCATTTTATTACCAAAATTTATATTATATTTATGATTTCGACATCGTTACGATCCTGCAATACTACCATTCTCTTCCTCGGTCATCACTCACCATAACCCCTCAAACCCTACTCCTGTTGATCTTGCCAATGGTCGACAATCTAACGATTAAGATTTATTCAGCCGTCTTCCTAATTCAAATTCCAATCAATCACAACCACTAAAATTCAATTTTCTATTATAAAAAAACTCATCGGTCTCTCCTCTTTAAAAACCTTAATAATCATGACCATGTTTGTTCTATGTTTACTGAGTATAAATTTGAATAATAAAATAATATTTTAAAAGTTTAATGATAAAAATTAAAAAGTGGAAAAAGGGCGTTAATATAAAATTCATATAAATTAACAAAAAAAATTAAGGATAAATAAAAAGTCAATAATGGAGGTGGTGGAGGCAAATGATTGGTCTGTGATGGATGACGGAGTGTGGTGAGCTGTAAAAAAAGGTCGTTACGGGGTGGCAATATCAGGGATGAGGGAGAAAGTTACTGAAGCCAGACTGCCAGTTGTGAGAGAGAATGAAAATAAAGAAGATGGGCGTTGAATTTTGAAGAGCGGAAGGAACAAGAGACAGCCAGACCCAAAGTAAGTAAGTACGTGCAGAGTGTATGACCGATGGTCTTTCTTTTGTCTGCCATCAAAATTCAAAATTNTCGAGAAGAAGAAGAAGAGCTGAGAAGAAAAAAGAGAGAAGGAAGAATAAACTGCTTTCTTTATCTTGAGAATAACAAAATAGAAGCAGGCTATATATATAGCCACTATTACAATAAAGTAGTTATACCGTAAAGTGTAATTAGTGAAGCTAAGTAACTAACTAATCTGTAACTAATCTGAACATTAACAACTAATAAGTATTTACAATATTTACACATCCTAATACTCCCCCTCAAGGTGGCTGGTAACCATCTTGGATAACAAAGAAAAAAACTGAGTAGAGGGAAGGGGTTTACTAAACAGGTCAGCCAATTGGTATTGAGATCGAATGGGCAGCAATTTGAGAACTCCCGAAGCAACTCTTTCATGAACAAAATAGCAATCTATCTCGATATGCTTAGCGCATTCGTAAAAGGTTGGATTAGAGGCAATATGTATCGCAGCTTGATTGTCACAATATAGCAAAGTAGGAGAATCAGCTGTGACTTGAAAATCTTGAAGAAGTTGCTGCAACCATATAAGCTCACTGGCAGTAGAGGAAAGAGCTCTATACTCAGCTTCAACTGAGGATCGAGAGATGGTGGTCTGCTTTTTGGCCTTCCAAGAGACTAAAAAGTCTCTAATAAAGATGCAAAAACCTGTAACGGAGCGTCGAGAATCAGGACATGATCCCCAATCAGCATCAGAGAATGCTTTAAGCTGTAAGGAAGAATTAGATGAAAACAGCAACCCTTGACCAGGACTGTTCTTGAGATAATGAAGTAGATGATGTACCGCCTTGAGATGAGGAAGGCGAGGTTGGGCCAAGAATTGAGTGAGCTTGTGAACTGCAAAAGTGATATCTAGGCAAGACAAAGTGAGATAAAGAAGCTTCCCAACAAGCCATCGATAGTGTGTTATATCAGGAAGCAATTCACCTTCAGTAGCAGTCAAACTGATTTTGGGATCCATGGGAACAACAGTGGGTTTACAAGCCGAATAACCTGAGTCCTCAAGCAATTGTAAGGCGTAATGACGTTGAGAAAGTGCAATACCCTATTTGGACTTAGCAATCTCAAGACCAAGACAGTACTTGAGACAACCAAGATCCTTTAACTTAAACTGTGTATGCAGAAACTGTTTGAGCTCATCAATAGCTTGAGATGAAGGGCTAGTAATGATGATATCATCCACATAAACTAGAAGAGCAATAAACGAGGATCCATGACTCTTTGTGAAGAGAGAATAATCAGATTTGGACTAAAGAAAGCCAAACTTGATCAAGGCTTGAGAAACTTTTGAATACCATTGTCGCAAAGCTTGCTTGAGACCATAAATTGACTTGTGAAGCTTGCATACTAGTTTGCCTTGAGATGGAGAAGACTCCCCCTATCTAGGATAGCCTAAAGAGAGATCCATATAGACTTCCTCAAAAAGATCGCCATCAAAGAAGCTATACAAGGTTTTTGTCGGGCCTGCTCATATGGTACCTAATCATATGGTGTCTAAGCTAAGTAATTCTATGACACCGGTGTGAATTTGGGTCTTTCCGGTTCAACTAGGACCGTAGTGCCTGACCTTTCTATGCGAATCAAGATCGAGAAAAGGAGGTTTTGCAATCATTGACTCAAACCCATTGTCGTGATCCAAGATAATAAAACCAGCAATAACAGTAATGTAAGCATGAGACTTTTTGGTAGTACCGGTGAACCAGATGGCCACGGCGATGGCATCTGGGATGGAGGACTCGTAGTATCTCTCTAGATCTGGCAAAAGCGAAAGACCCCCTAATGTAATTCGAATGGAGGCCGACTGCCAGTCTTGATTAACGGATCCCCTCATGGCTTTTTCGGGCGCTCAAGGGGTGTTCGTCAGGGTGATCCATTATCTCCCATCCTCTTTTGCATTGCTAAAGATTTCTTAAGTTGCAGCCTTGCTAAACGTTTTTTTGAGAAGAAGATTTCTACTATTACAACTCCAAGAAATTGCTCTGCTCCTAGCCATGTTTAATTTTCGGATGAGGCATTATTGACATCGAGTTGAGCTAGATGCCAATTATATGAGGCAGCAAGGGTAAGAAGAACCTTGACAGTCACTAATTTTGCGATTGGAGAATAAGTGTCAATAAAGTCCAAACCTTCTTGTTGTGTATAGCCTTTAGCTACCAAACGAGCCTTATGTCGCTCAATAGATCCATCCGATTTAAGCTTGATCTTATAAATCCATTTGCATCCAATGGTATGTTTGTCATGAGGAAGAGAAGTGACGGTCCATGTGTTATTTTCTTCCATAGCTTTTAACTCTTCATGCATAGCCAATTTCCATTCAGGAAACTTCACGGCTTGGTGATAGTATTGAGGCTCAACCTAAGAAGATACACTGAGCACAAACTGCCTATGGAAATCCGAAAGGCCATGATAAGATATATAGTTAGAGATTGGATAATATGCGGAAGTGGAAGTAGGAATAGAAGAACCAGTAAGTAAATTGCAGTGGTAATCCTTCAAGTAATGAGGTTGATGAATCATCCTGATAGATTTGCGAAGAACAACACCAGCAAATGAAGAAGGAGCAGTTTTTGGAATATCATTTACTAGAATATTGGCTGCTGAAGTAGAAGTATCACCAGAGGGAACAAGTGGAGCATGAACAGGTGAAGAATCAAGATCTGGAAGAAAAGGAGCCTGTAATGAAGAATGTGGCAGAACTAAATCTGGAAACAGATCGGTAACCTGATCAGAACTAGTAACAAGTAACAACATGAAAAGGAAACACTTCCTCATGAAACACTGCATCTCATGAAAGAAACACTTGTTTGGTTTCCACATCATAGAACTTATAACCTTTCACACCAAACGGATAACCAAGGAAAGCACAAACTCGAGCACAAGGTTGGAACTTGTTTCGATGGGCAGCTAAGGTGGAAACAAATGCTAAACAGCCAAAGACTCAAAAAACAGTGTAATCCGGAGCTGTTTTGTATAGCAAATGAAAAGGGGTGTTGTGCCTTAATAGTGTGGAAGGAGTTCTGTCAATCAAGAAAGCCGCCGTAAGAACACAATCTGTCCAAAAAGAAACTGGAATCCTAGATTGAAAAAATAATGACCGAGCCACATTCAATAGGTGTTGATGTTTTCGCTCCACAACTGAGTTTTGTTGAGGCCTTTCAACACATGAAAACTGATGCAAAACGCTCTTATCTTGAAAAAACTCAGCAAAAGATAACTTAGGTGCATTATCAGATCGAAACACCTTGATTTTGACATTAAACTGAGTTGAAACCATGTTGAAAAACTTGGGTATCATAGAGACAGCATCATACTTATTCTTCAACAAATAAACCTAAGTAAAATGAGTGCAATCATCAACAAGAGTCAAGAAAAACCGATGACCAGTATAAGAAACAGTTGGATATGGCCCCCAAATATCACAGTGCACAAGATCAAAAGGAAATTTGGACAAATGATTATTGGATTCAAAAGGCAGCCTTCTTTGCTTAGCAAGAGGGCAAATATAACAAGGATCCAACTTATGTAATCTAGTTACATCACATTTCAACTGATCTTTCAAAGAATCAAGTCTCTTAAAAGAAATATGTCCTAATCTGTTATGCCAAATATGAGCAGAAACATTATTGACAAAACCATTGGAAATAGAATTCAAACAATGAACATTAAGAACATAGAGATCTTGAACTTTGTCAGCCTTGCCAATCATCCTCTCGGTGGATAGATCCTAGATAACAAAGTAGTCAAGGAGGAAACTCACTATAAGGGCAGATCCAGTTACTAAAGCACTGACTGAGATCAAGTTGAATTTGAATTGAGGAACAAATAGTACATCCTTAAGCCCAAGGTCAGAATGCAATTTAACATCACCAGCAAAATCAACCAAAATCTGAGAATGATTTGGCAAAGTAACTGTTGTGTGATGAATAGAACGCAGGGAAACAAAAGCATTGGCTTGTGAACAAATATGTCGAGTAGCTCTTAAGTCTACAATCCAGAACTAATTGGATGAAAATAAAGGACTTAGAGAGATAGAGAAGCAAATACCTGCAAGACAGTTGGTTTGAGCAGGATCAAGAGCATTGGTGACCTTTGCTGAGCTACTCAAATGTGTAGAAAGCATGGACATTAGCTACTGATATTGATTGGAGTTCAGATTCTATACAAAACCACCAAAAGAGTGATCTGATCTATCATCTGTAGTAGAAACTTGATGAGCAGCAGCATTTTAATTGTTGCTGGAATGAAATTTATATCCAGGATGATATCCATGGATCTTGTAGCAACGATCCACAATATGTCCAAGATCTTGCAATGCGTGCAATAAGGCCTATCTCTTTTTTGATTCTTGGGAGCACTGGAATTAGAATTCTGAGAATTTTGAGAACTAGAACCACCAAACTTAGCAACATCTATTTTAACAGCAAATGCCATTGTGCTAGTAGAATTATCAGAGGAAGGATTAGTCCTCCTTTGTTGTTCCTCTTGAACAATAACAGAGAAAACACGATTGATAAGAGGCATCGGATCCATGAGAAGCAACTGACCACGAACTTGAGAGAAAGAATCATCAAGTCCCATTAAGAAGGACATCATGTACTCCGTTTGATGATGATTGTTAAGATTTTTAACTCCATCACAAGTGCACTTTCCACAGGAACAATTTGGCCGGTAATTACTCAGTTCTTCCCATATAGTTTTCAGCTTTGTGAAGTAAATGCTAACTGAACTCTGTTCTTGACATAGATTCATCAATTCACGTTTAAGTTGAAAAATTTTAGGTTCGTTCCTCTGTTGAAAACGATCCCTAAGATCTAACCAAATCTCTTGGGCAGAAGAAGCAAAGATAATACTGGTAGAAATTTCTTTTGAAATCGAATTTAAGATCCAAGATATAACAATATTATTGTTGCGAATCTAGGAATTGAGAAGATTATTGTCAGTACCTTTAGGTTCAGAAATAGAACCATCAACAAATCCCAATTCGTTCTTCATAGATAGCGCAATTAACATCGGATGACTCCAATTGGTGTAATTCTCATCAGTGAGCTGTTGCGAGACAAGCACTTGCCTAGGGCTGTCAGAATGATGAAGATAGTAAGGATTCGAAGGTTCATCAATGGCAGAATGATTCAAATTGATACACTCTTCAGAACTAGAATCATCAGCGTTCGAGGATAGAGTGGCCATATTGAAGAAGACAAGAACAATCAACGTAGGAAGAAAAAGAAACAAGCAAATTTGCAGCGAATCAAATTCGCTCTGATACCATATTAAGCTCGAGAAGAAGAAGAAGAAGAAGAGCTGAGAAGAAAAAAGAGAGAAGGAAGAATAAACTGCTTTTTTTATCTTGAGAATAACAAAATAGAAGCAGGCTATATATATAGCCACTATTACAATAAATTCGTTATAACGTAAAGTGTAATTAGTGAAGCTAACTAACTAACTAATCTGTAACTAATATGAAGATTAACAACTAATCAGTATTTACAATATTTACACATCCTAATAACAGATATGTATTTAGGCAAGCTTGTATTATTAGTCATATGAAGGGTAATACTAAGCTAACGAACGAATCTCACAAACCTGACATGACAACAAGTTGACATTATTACGTTGACTGATGACTTTGACTAAATACATAAGGAACGATTATTCCATTAATAAAAAATGATCGTTCCCATAAAGAATGACTGTTCCTTATAAAGAGAACAATAATTCCTTATGGAACAGTCGTTCCTTCTTATGGAACAACCATTTCATAAGAAGGAATAGTTGTTCCATCTTATAGAATGAGCGTTCCATAAGATGGAACAACCATTCCATCTTATGGAATAGTTGTTCCTTATAAAGAAACGATCATTCTCATCTAAGAACAATCGTTTTTGGTCGTCCCTTAACTTCCATAAGGGAAGGAATGATCGTTCCTTAGAGAGGAACGACTATTTCTTCCGTGAGGAATAGCCGTTCCTTTTATGAATGGCCGTTTCTTGGGTTTAGTCAAAATCAAATCATTTTCCGTTGGGTGTGGTGGGAGCTGATTCATTTGCCAGCCTATCTTTATTTGTCATATGAAATGGGGTTCCAATTTCTACCTTGCAGTTGCCTTGGCTGTATTGTTAGTCACCGATATTCAACAATCAATATCATGTCCATATAGTTTACTGTTTTAAGCTTTGCTAAGACTCCATTCAACAACCAATTATGGTCAGAGGCTCCATAAATTTTTGTTACTGGTTTAGCATCGATTCTTTGATCATGATCCAAAGGTTTGATAATTGTTCAAGATTATTCATTATTGGCAAATATATTTTTTCTTGAGCTATCTTAAGTTTTAATTCCTTATATTGTTTTGGACCATTGAACTTTGTTGGATCTTTTTATTTTCCTTTACTCAAAAATCAAATATTAGAATTAATATAATACTGCTTTCAGGCCATCGAACTTAGGATTTCTTTTGTTTTAAAATTGTGTTTTAAAATTATCTTATTTATATATTTTAAGGATTTTGGGTGTTATGCCTAGTTTCCAGATGGTCAGATTTAAGCTGCGCGTCCTTAAGGTACATCAGAGTCCGACGGGATCCTCCCACGTGTCGTCCCGTTAGTGCTTGTCTTTTCTTACAAGGTGATTACTATCATAAGTATGGGTTAAACTGCCATTAGCATGCCCCGGTTTGTTATAAGCATGAGAATTACTAACTTAGATTCTAATTGGGGGGATTATGCATTCAACCCCGTAACACCCACTCTATAAAAGGAGTCTACAACCTCCGTTTCAAAGGAGGATTCTAGCTTATTAGTAAAGTTCAAGAGAAAAAGCATCTAGACT